TCTTTGCTTTTTTTGCCACTTTACCCAGACCTCTTTTAGAGCAGATTGTAAGCTGCTTGAGGTGGTATCTGAAGATTTAGTCTTTCTAACTCCAGAGTCTAACATAAGCATTCCCCAGAGAAAGTGCTCAGAAAATGCTTACAAAATGGACCAAAGCGGCCCTGGCTGGTGTGGCTCAGTGGATTGAGCACCAGCTTGTGAAGCAAAGGGTCGCCAGTTTGATTCCCAGTGCAGGGCGCTTGCCTGGGTTGCAGGCATGGTCCCCAGTAGGCAACAAGAGGCAACCACACACTGATGTTTCTTTCCCTCTCTTGATCCCTCCCTTCCCCTCTGTCTAAAAATCTTATACAAAATTAACCAAAGCAATAGAATAAAAGGCTGCTGGTCCCTTTTTCAGTTCTACCCTCAGGAATATAGGTAAGCCCTTGTCTCACCCTAGTTAGGATCTTGTTTTGGAAGGCAGGACATAGAAAGATGCCCCCTTCTGTGTGGGTAACCAGTAACTAAATCAAATCCTAAGCTACCCAGAAAGTACGTTAGCTCCAAACAGTACACCCCACTTGATTTCAGATAGTTTTCCCATTAACGTATTTGTTACTTTTTAATTTGAACCTGGAATCAAAAGTTTCAGGTTGGTGTTCAAGGGGCTATTTTGTTTTTAAAATCAGCTGTATAGCAGGGAGCTACTGTTTTAAGCCAGGAAACTGTGTGAGTTGGGAATTTGTGGTTGTTTGGATCCTCTCAAGTAGTACTTTTAAAAATCTCAGCAGTGAATCATTCAGTGTCCCAGACTGGTGCAAGTCCTGGGTCCCAGGCAGGGGGCAGCTGATGGTCGCTGGCAGGGGCAGACAGGGCCTAGGGTGAACCTTTTCTTTTTTTCTTTTTTAATTTTTAAAATGTATTGCTTTTAGAGAGAGGAGAAACATCAATTTGTCATTCCACTTATTTACACATTCTTTGGTTAATTCTTCATTCTTGTATGTGCCCTGACCGGAGATTGAACCCACAGCCTTGGCTTATCAGGATGTTCTAACCAGCTGAGCTACCCAGCCAGAGCTGAACTTTTTTTTGCTTGTGGCAGATTCTCTCCTTGCTTTTTGTCCCTAAGAGGTATTGTGCCTTCCCTAAGATCTTTCACATCAATTTTCTGTTTTACAGTATACTTCTTGCATTCATATGTAGCTGTATTTTCCAGTCACGCCAGACTAAGAGATCAGATCACTTCATGATATTTGGGCTTCAGCCTCCAGGAGAGACTAAGGAGGTTTTGTAATTGATAAGTATGTCCCTAGCATTACCCATTGACCAGTGTAAAGTGTATGTGTTTGTGTTGTGGGGATGGTCTCTCTAAACTGTTATACACTGTTAAGTGGGTCTTGAATCTCAAAAATGTAGGGAGGCCCTGCCCTGGGATGTTCATTTTTGACACTGTCATTGCACAGTGTTAGTAGCCTCCAGAGGATAGTCCTCAAGCATGAGCCTGGTGTCCTTGAAACCAGCTTTGCCATCAGACTAACCATTAGCACCTAGCCACCTGGAAGAAGCCTATGCTTCTGTAGCACTTTTCAATTACATATACTTCAGCTTCCTTTGAATATGACTTATGTTTTCTTAGTAACCAAGTTTAATTTTATTTTTTTTTAAATTTTAAAAAGATTGTATTTAATTTTTAGGGGAAGGGAAAGGGAGGAAGAGAGGGAGAAAAACATTGATATTCACACATTGATCAGTTGCCTGTCATAGGCTTCCCAACTAGGGACGTGGCCCGCAACCCAGGCATGTACCCTGACCGAGAATTGAACCCCCAACCTTTTGGCTTGCAGGCCAGTGCTCAGCCCACTGAGCCACACCAGCCAAGGCACAAGTTTAATTTTAGACTGTTGATGCCACTGAAAATGGAACTCAGTTGATCCTGAAAAGTGAGGTCCATAGAGAGTGCAAGGTAGAGTAGCCAGCTCTTAAGACTCTTCTAGATAAGCCCACCCTGAGAACAAGTCCTCTGATCTGTGTGCCAGGACAGGCTTGTATGGTGATGGAGGCTGTCCCCTCTCCACTGAAGGCCACCTTGATAGCCCACTGGAAAGAGCTGTGGGGACCTTGCAGCAGTTCTTTTGTCTCTTGCCTGAGGTTTCTGCATGTAATAGAGGCTGGCAAACCTTAAGCAACATTGCCAGTCCAGAGACAAACAAAACAAAAAAAACCTTGACGTTGAGCCATGCACCTGAAAACATCTTCTGTAGTTCTGCCCAGAATTGATCCCTATGTCTAAAATGAGAGCCTGGTTGGGTTTTAAAGCTAGCTAGCAAGTGGGAATGAATCAGCTGGCATTGTTGGTATCTCAGGACTGGACAGTGAGGGTGACTTATGGACATAAGCTCTTTAAGATTTTAAAAATACTTTATGACTATTCTGCAGTTTCGAGGCAAGTACATCTCTGCAGTCCAGTTTTTTTGTTGTTGTTGTTTATTTTTTGCTTTTTTTGTCAGAAGAAATGAGCATTGGTCTCTGACTGGTGATATTTGTCAGACAGTTGCAGTTTGTGATTTTTCTTTTGAAGGAGGGAGATCCAAAGTTATTGAGTGAACCATCTCAGATATCTAACAGCCATCCCTAGGCACCTACCAGCAGCCTTTATGGTTGACCAGCTTTACCCATTAATGAGTAATAATTAACGAAGGCAGCAGCATACTTAGGAAGGGTGTCATTACTATGACTGTCAGTTAATATTTCTAAGGCCTTAACGGAGAAAGAGAATTGACTAGGAAGCTGTCATTATTGGCTCAAAGAAAGGATTTGTCAACTTAATTAGTTGTCTGTTTTCCCTAAAAACATTTTTATCCACAAAGAAAAATGGCAGAATGGAAAAGTGAAAGAGAAGGTAGAAAAATGAGTGTCTACATTTCAAAGGATTCTTTTTTGTGCATTCTGTACAGTTTTGGCAAGCTGTAAAGTAATGGAGCAGCCACTCCCTGGGTGGAAGAAGGTGTGACTTTTAAGAAATTTTTATTGATTGATTGGAGAGGGAGAAACGTTGATTTGTTGTCCCAGTTATTTGTGCATTCATTGGTGGTTTCTTGTATGTGCCCTGATTGAGGACTGAATTCACAACCTTGGCACATCAGGACAACACTCTAACCAACTGAGCCACATAGCCAGGGCAGGAGATGTGATTCTAAGGTGGCAAGTTTTGTTTTTTTTTTTTAACGGCATGTCAGATTAGTTAAATCGGGTTTTGTCTTGCATCACCAAGATTAAGTGCTCTGTGAAGCTACCTTTTCCTCTTCACACACCAGAAGCAGCCAGAAAAGCTTTGTCTGCCCTGACAGGCCAGTCTGTTGCCAGGTGCCCAGGATGAGTGACTTACCTGCCAGCCAACACCATGTGTCAAAGGCCTTACTTGCAGCAGCCAAAGCCAGTGGCAGCTGTTGTGCTGCCCTGGCCTTAGTCTATCTTAGCAGAAATCTAAGAGACTACTTAGGGAATCTCCTTCCCTTTGGACTAAAGATGGTTTCTTTAGATGATATTGGTGATATTACATTCTAAAAGGAGAAAGGCCCTGGCCAGTATGGCTCAGTTGGTTGGAACATCATCCTGTACAAGGGTTTGATTCCCAGTGTGGGCACATACCTAACCTAAATTGTGGGTTCGATCCCCAATCTGGGTGTATACAGCAGGCACCCAATGTTTCTCTCTCACGTCGGTATTTCTGTCTCCCTTCATCTCTCTCTAAAAAGCAATGAAAAAAATGTCCTCAAGTGAGGATAAAAAAAATTTTTTTTTAATTAGTTTTTGCTGAGGAATTTTGCTTTTTTCTTAAAATGACTGGAGCAATAGGCTTAGCTAGAAAATAGGTCATACCTTGAAAAGTCTGATTACTAAAAAGACTCTCTGATTCATTCATACTGTTAAATGTTAAGGAAATTCATTCAAATACAAGGTGACAGCCAAAATGATTTCTTCACACCATGCTTAAAAGTTGTCTAAAGCCAAGTTTAAATTTACCAAAGGTGCTATTGAGTACCCAGAAAGAAGATATCTGCTTCATTTTGCCACTATTTGAAGACATGCATTTACAGTTTCTAATAGTGTGAAATCCAAAAGTCCATAACCTTCACATCTCCTAAATGTCCTGACTGAATGTGAAATGTTGTGAATTACTACCTGGATTCAGCTGATTTTAATTTAGAACAATAAGTGTTTGTGTGATTCTGCTTTTAGAACCTTTCATTGCAAAGCATGCCAGGAGAAAAAGTTATATTTAAAGTATTTCCATTATCACATTAAATTGTGAACATTTATAGATCACAGATGACAAAAAAAAATAGGTTCTGGCTTCCAAATGGATGGTATGGTCAGAGTTGTGCTGAATTTTCTGAATGTAGTAAAATACTAATTTCTGAGTCTACTTACTCTCTGGGTAGGACATAAATATTGCATCCCTGCTATATTTTAATTTATGAATCTGATTCACTGGATTACATGGCTACATAACCTTTTCTTTTTTTCCCCCCAGCATCAAAGCTAAGGCAGAGGACTCATCACATTTCCACTATCAGCTACAGGCTAGAAAGGAGGATGGGACGAATGTGACTTTGACCACAGAAGCTCTCTTAAAATTCCTGGCATTACCAACACAAAGGAAAGAGGAGTTGGAATGAAAGTGGTATTTTAAAAGATCTCATTCTTTCAGTAGCTATCGTTCTAAAAGTATTCGTGAATATTTATGTATTTATACGTCATGACCTTTTTTATTTTGTTTTTGAGTATCAAACTTTTTGTTAAAAATGCGTATTTTTTAATGTTGATGTAATATGGCAGGTAATGGATTTTACACTTTGGATTTCTAAACAGTGTACCTTTAAGTGTGATTCTGGTCGTATGGTCTTTTTTCCCCACTGAAGCAAACCAGGTCCCTTATTTCCTGCTCAGTCTGAAGTTTGCGCCATCCATATACTCCAGTGCCCCACATATACCCATCTTTTTAAAAGATTTTTATTTATTTTTAGAGAAGGGGGAGAGAGAGAGAAAAGAGAGGCAGAGAAACATCCATGTGAGAGAGAAACATTGATTGGTAGCCTCTATGCCCCTAACCAGGGACCTGGTCCACAACCCAGGCAAATTCCCTGACTGGGAACCAAACTGTCAGCCTTTAGGGTCTCAGGGCCGGCATTCAGTCCACTGAGCCACACCAGCAAGGGCAAACCTTTTTTAAAGGAAGGAGTGAGAAACCACAGGCCTAAGGTACCCATCAGCTCATGGGAGGAGGCAGCCTACCAAAATGTATCTGACCTCATTTTAAAACTGAAAAGATTCCAGTTTGGTCCGGGCAGCCAGTTGATCTCCCAACTGCTGAGTAAAGCCCACATTTTCTTTTTCTGGAGGGAGCCTCAGGCTCTTACCTTCTATTAGGCTCGGGGAATTGTCAAGCACAAGAAATTCTGTGTTGCAGTGCCGCTCTGCTCTGCAACGCTGGCAGCAATTTCCCCCCTATAGTTAATGTATCTGTTCTCTACCCCCTCCCTGTTCCTCTTTCTTATTTACTATCCACCATTAAGTACTTATCTCCAGGTATAAATACTGAGAGAGGGACTTCATTTAGGGGGCAGCAATGTAATAATCACAGCAGGTTTCAGTCATCATGGTGTGTGGTCCTGGGGATAGTAGTAAGACAGTGGATCCTGCTTTAGCTTAACCTACAGGTAAACCCAGTGCTAAAGAGGAAAGCTGGCAGCGGGAGCATGGTGTCTGGGGCAGAGAAGTGGGATGCCTTGCCCATGGCTCAAGGCTAAGGCCAGGCTGCACACCTCAGACCGGCCTCATCTCTGGGCAGCTTTTAGCTCTAATCTGTAGTGGCCACTGGGGTGGACCAAGGGAAGAATCAGGATCTCTAATCTATGACCTTGGACAAGCCACTTCTCTCCCCATCTCACCTGAAAATAGGTGGTTATGAAAGCATCTACCCCCAAGAGCTACGGCGAGGGTTAAGATGTTACTGGGCCAAGCACATGCTTTAAGAGCCTTAGCCTCTTCTTTTCCTCCAGTGTAACCTAGCCTCTTTCCATTCTGATTATCTGTACAGATCTGTGAGGCTTAAAAAAAACTAATGATAAAGTGGAAAAATCAGTGTGGTTATTCACTTTTAAAAATGCATTTTCCTTAAGTTTCTCATGATTGATTCTATTTTCTCTGTAGATATAATGTCCCAATAAATTAATAATATCCTGTCAGGAATGTATCCTCACATACAGCAAGCTTAAACTGTGAACTGACTAATTACCCCCACCATCTCCTTCAGTTTATTTTTGAAGACTCCTCTAATTAACCAAAATCAGATTTTCTGATACCATTTTCTAATGGGTTTCCTTTCATTATTTCCTCAGTTTAAGCAGATTCTTTTTTCCCCTCATCTTATCTTTACAATCTCTATGGCTATCTTACCCATAAAAGCAACTAGTATAATTTCATCCTGTTTTTCTGGAATAGAAATCTCATTTTTTGCATTGCAGCACTCCTGGTGGTGCAGGTAAAATGGCCCCCACTCTTAGCTTTCCAACAGGAGCTCACACCAGATACAAGCTACAAGATACTGGCCACTTCATTTACACAGTCCCGCCCAGGACGAGTGGGAGTCAAGTGACATCTCAGGAGGGAACATGGTCAAGTATGACTAGAAATGGGTTTTTCTATTAAAGACGTTAAGTCTTAATACCTTGCTTGAGAAGCAAGAATCAATACTAACAGTACAGTTTACGGTGCTTAGTTAACAGTGATGTCCTTTCATGTTAGTCAAAAATTTGTCTTTTCAATCATTCCTTAGACTCTGTGGCCCACCTGATCAATCCTCTCCCTTGCAAGGGAAAGGATGCCCTCTGAATTTTTCTGGGATCCACTTGGATCTGTGGTTCCCCATTCCACCAGCCCTGGGAGGGATGGCACTGCCACTGCCTGATACTTTGCTCTGTAGTAAACGGCCACGCAAATACAGGGTTCTCTCTGAAATGAGACTTCTATTACCCCGTATGTCAGGTAAGTTAGTGTTTCCCTGCTGCCCAGCTCTAGTCTCTGCTGGAGACCCTATGTCTGGATGGAGTGTGTCAACTTCTGGGTCTGAGGTTTGTCACCTAGTCACAGGACCAGTGTAGGGACACCTTTTGGTTCTGTAGAATAAGAGTAAACACAAATCTTGAGAGACAAGAGTTTTTGAACTTAAACACACAAATACACAAAATCTTTGGGGGAGAAACAGTATCACATGGCTTGCTTTTCATTAAAACCAACAGTAGCAGGCAACAATGCTTATTTATTTACTTGAAAAGCAAACAAAGGTTACTCTGTCCCTTCCAAGTTATGACTCCAGGGCTAGAGGTGGCAGTGCTGGCTGCCCTTTTTGGTTTGGGTTTTCTTATGCTAGCAGTAAGGGCAGAGTCCTTTGCATGTGTTCCTGCCACTCATGGAGGTGGGCTTGAAGCCCTGTCTCTGGACAAGAGGACCAGCTGATGAGGTGGAGTAACATCATCCAAACAGATGCCCCTGGGAATCAGAGAGTAAAAAACTGGGACTGTTAAGCTCCCATTAGATGGAGCTCATTCTTACCTGTTCTCGACCATATGAACCAGAGCTTTTTTTCTAACAGTGTTGTCAAAAAAGGGTGCCCCTCTAAAATATAACCCTGATAGTTGCAGTCCAAGTCCCAGCTCTCCCTGCCTAGGAAAAGTAGGTTAATGAACCAAATATATCTTGACTATGGCCCTCCAACGTATTTGTTTGAGAGGAACAAAAATGCTGTTACAGACCTGAGGCAAGTCTTTATACCCGCCTGGTTTAGTGGAGTAAGGTCAACCTTGAACTGTATAGGCCTAACACCCGTGCTTTGACATGAAGCGAGCACCAAAATCTCATCCTCTTAGGGCAGTTATTTTCCTTTTCCTTTGACATTTTCTTCTATAAGGAATGTTTGACTTAACCTAGTAAATGTGAACTGGTAGCCATTTCTTCCTGAGTTACTTCACCTCAGGGTAGGGATCTGCAAAGTGAGGATGATGTTATTTTCATCTTTGCTGGAGGATTTAATAGAAAAACTGTCTGTGGAAGTACCTGGTACTTAGTGAACTATCAGAGCTTCATTTCTAACCTACTTTCCCTTTGAGGCCAAGCTGAGAAGGTATGAAATGTTTCAACCAACTTAAATTTACATGAAAGAAAAATGAGCACCTACAATCACCCCACCAGACCAGGCTCCATTCCCAGGGCTGTCAAAGTGTGTGCCTTTTCCATTCAAGTTGTGGAGCAGGGCCTCACATGTGACTTGCCGTCACCCATTAGGAACTACTGCTGTGTTAACAGTGAAGAGCGGCAGGCACTGAACAATGCAGCACCAATCAAATGTCAAACTGTTCTGGAGATGGGGGCAGAAGCCAAACCTCCGGAGAGGAGGAGGCAGCCTTGCCCAGAGCTCCGTGTGCCCACTGCAGTCCTTCCTCCACTAGGTGCCTTGGTACCCCTGCACCACTTGGCTGGGGCTTGCACACCGTAGGTGTTCCTTTCCGTGAACATGGTCTTCGCCGTACACGCCAGCTTACTGGCAGAAGGCTTGCCCTGGAGTCTAACCCTGTAAACTGACTAGATTCTTTACCACTCTGGGTGTGAACTGTAGGCCTCACCCACAGGCCTGTTACCCAGACTGGTTAACAGTCTAGTTCAGAGTATCTGAAATCTGCAGTCCCCCTTAGCCTTAAACTAGTTTTGTTTTAATCATCACCTAAGGATATGTCCATTGATTTTAGAGAAAGGGAGAGAGAAGCATTGATTGGCTGCCTTGCATGTGCACCCTGACTGGGGATTGAACCTACAACCTAAGCACGTGTCCTGAGCAGGAACAGAACCTGCAACCTTTTTTTTGGTGCTCAGGGCACCGTTCCAATGAACCCAGCCACCTGGGCAGAGCTAAACCAGCTGTTTTCAACTTTTCAGGTGGCGAGACTATGACTCATACTTCCTTCTACCTGTTTACGAAATTATTTATGACTATGTGTTACTTGTATTAAAAAACTCCAAAACTGATTAAGAACTGTCCCCAGAGAATTTGGACCTTAGACCCTGGAGATCCGTTGGCCTACTGGCCTCTTGCCCAGGTCTGTCCATATACTGCCACAGGCTGTCAGGAAAGCAGTTCCGTTTTTGGCTTTAAGTTCCAACCTTTGGTACTTATGTTGCTCTTATAGCCGGCTCTCTCAGACTTGGCATTCAGAAGTTGCCATGGTGACTGTGGTCTCAAGCGTCTCTGTAAAAGAACACCTAATCCCTGTCAAAGAACCGACATGTTAGGGACTAAAAAAGCCAGGGAGAACTTTCCTGAACAGATGGATTCATCAACCTCACCAACACCAGGTCCCAGTACAGTCTACACTGATCCCTCTGGCTTGTAACAGACCCCTGTACCCCACCACCCTTGGGATCCACACTGTCTTTCCCAGCTGATGATGTTCCAGGGAGTCACTACCTGAAACCACAACCATAAGGGCACGTAAGTGCCCATGCCTATAACTAGGAGCCCACGACAGCATAGCAAAGTTACTAAATTAGCTTTTCTAGCCTTTAGCTAAAGCCAATGACATGGGCTTCGATTCTTCCCTATTCTCTGCCCAGGATGGTTATCAGGCCAAGAGGGTTCCTATTTCTTGTTATCTTTGTACCAGCACCAACACAGAAACACTGAATCTCCCAAATCACTCTAAAAAGATGTTACACAGAGGCCAGCCAAAGAGGAACAAGCCACTCTGCAGGTGACACTGTCTTGCTCAGGAATGCCACCAGTCCAAATAAGCTGATGGGCAAAAGGCCTTGTTGGAAAGGGGGAAGGGAACAGGGCAAGTGTATCCTTTGGGCTTCAGAGGTCTGTCTTAAGTGGTCTTTGCTGCATTTTGGCAGCTTTCAAGACACCACAGAACCCCTCCTGCATTCCAGGACGAAGGACAACTAAATGGTTCAGATTGATGGAGCCTGAGAAGTTCCTTTCAGATACACTCTGGTCCCCTCTACAACCCAGTGCCACTTTGAGGATCCTAGTCTTCCAGGTAAGACCTGATACCAGCTCACCTCCTCCAGACTACAGAAACATCATTCTTGTAACCAAATCAATCATCATACCATGGAAAAGGTTATTTGCTTTGCTCAGGAGAATATACTCTATATTCTGTTCTAGAGTCTTCCCAAACATATCATTCCAGAAGTCAATGATAAACAGGAGCATTACGTGGCCAAGCTTTAGGGCTCAATGATAAGAGCTGAAAGACCATGCAGGATTCTCACCCAAGTCTGAATCTTCCATATGCCAGAGGAAGCTTGGAGCCCCCTTCCTTCCAGGGTTCTTGATTCAACCAGCAAGGAGCTAAAGTTACTGACAGTCACATACCAAACCAGGTTTGTAAAGGGCTCATTCATCCTTTTGGCATAACTAAAAAAAAGCCCTACTCTATGCTATGAATAGGAAAATGTAAAAACAAGACATTACTAACAAAATTGTTTGAAAAAGCTGTAGTGATGGTGGGGAGGAATTACTGAAAGAATAGCACGTAATGCTGTATTCTTTTTGAAAGAACAGAGGAAAAAGGTCAATTCAAGATTTTGTTTCTGGTATCTTTGCTTTCTCATATACTAGAATAACTGAAGATAACAACTCTTTCCCCTTATCTGACAGCAGCTCAGGTGTTTCCTAACTAAATGGGAACTGAAGAGGGCACATCTTGGCAGAAAGCCCATCCTATGCACAATTTTACTGACCTTTAATAGCTTTCCAACCATTGATTTTTCTATTAACATACATAATCCTCACACAACATATTCCTTTGGGACTTTGCATTGCTGAATGTAACAAAAAGGAACTGTAATAAGCACTACCAGGAACTAAAAATTTGGTCTCTTAAAACTTGGGAGAATTGAGATCAAAATACCTTAAATGTAGCTCTAAATTGTGCTTTGAGCCCCAGGGTTCTCTCTTATAAGAGTACTACTAAGTGAGTAAACTAAGTAGACAGGTACCTTATTTACTAAGCGCAAGACTATTAACTTAAGTAGCCACCCACTGCTCCCACCTATATGAGTAAAAATGTTTAGATCAGCTCTCCAAATTGTGTTCACAGAACTTATTTTTTGTGGGGTGCGGGTATACAGACTCAAGGATATTTCTAAGGGGAAAAATTTTGGTCTAGTGATAAGTCAGAGACCTTCATAGTAGAGACCTGAAAGTGTTCCCATATATGTACATCCAGACTTTATACTAGGAAAAAGGTAAATCTCTTTGTACCTAGTTTGCTCATCTGTAATAACCTACCTATGGGATTACTGTGAGTTTGAAATGCTGTAAGTACTTAGAATAAGTGCCTTTCGCAGAGCGCTATGTTAGAAGTACTGTTACACAACAGGACTTCTGTTACAAATGCATTTAAACTGAATCTACCTTCATACCTAAGTAAATAACTTAGTTCTAGCTTCTTGCCATATGATTTATAAAATTTGTGTAGAGTTTAAAAGTAAGTATTTTTCATGACATAACCTTGTAAATTGAAGCTTTACATCTGGTACTCAACCAAAGAAACTGGAATCTCTTCCAAAGCTGAAGGAAAAAAACTGAGGAGTAATTCAGAGAATGTTCCAAAGATTTTTCTCCAAAGGCAATGTGACTAGGTCTGAGTATTGAACTTAGGAGATACAGTTGACTCCTCGCAAAATAAGATGTATTTCCCCTATAATTGTCTATCAATACTTGAAATGTTTCAGTTTTAAATACAGAAAGGAAAATGGATTAAGGATAAAAACAAACTTTGAAGCAATATCCAAATAAACCATACATCTACTCCCCAAATTGCCAACTAGTAACTTTTAAAGGGAACCATCAGCACTTATCCTTCCAGTGTTAAACTTTGGTTAACAGAAGCTGTAGATATTGCCATATTGGAGTTGTCTTTCAATAAAGAAGCAGCTCTTAGCTTAACTAAGCTAGTATGAACATGACAAGAAACTCTTGGGATTACTGAAATAGCTATTTTAACTACTAGAAAGACTACACAGGTGATTCAACAGAATTTACTTGTATTATTTTCCATTTTCTATACTACTTGAAGGCATAGGATAGCTTTGTATTAGCTTTCTACAATACTGTGTTTTAAATTTATCCAGTAAACTAAGATGCAAGTACAACTTTTATACAACTTAGGAGATTAAAAAAAAAAAAATTCTCCACAAGAGAAAGCAACTCAGCAGGCCCTGGTATTAAAACATTTTTTTCCCCCAGAATAAACAGAGAAGCAATTGCGTTAAAAGGCAGTTTTCAAATATTTAAACTATACCAAGATTCCTTCCAAATATATGCCTTGCTCGCCCAATGCAACTAATTCTTATTCATTGCTAATAGTGGGGCATGGATTTTTGGTAAATGTTTATGGTTTTACTTTCTTCGTTATCAAAAAATCTTTTAAAGTGTTATTCAAGCAGCAAAATAAGTTGCATCAGGTCTCTCCTCAAAGTAAAGGTGCTAATTCCTCATCATAGAGGTGAAAATCGTGAAATCACACAAGGTACAGTTTAACACGAAGTAGAGCATGAAGAAACAGTAACAAGTGGCTTAAGTACAGAGCTGGACAGAATCAAACCACTTATGTCTATAAAATTGCTCAACTGAAACTAATATAGGTGTGTTCAAAATAAAGTTTGATATTACCATTGATGTTCAGAATCAAATTTGAAGAATTTCTTGGTAAAATATAAATCTGTTCTTTTGAAACTGGAAATGAAACTATCAATTGATGGAGAGCTAGAGACTTATTAACCCCTCCTACAAAGATAAGGAAATAAGTGACAAAGTCTCTTGCACTGAAGTTATGTATTTTAACAGCTTTACATGTAATATTCATATATAAAAAACTGTAAGTGCTTTTCTCCAATTTAAAAATCTAAAGAATTCAAAAATAAGGCATTCAATATTTGAAAAAAGTACAGATTTACAAAATGTGTATATTCTGTCATGAAAACTCCACACCAACATTATACACTTGGAAAAAAATACAAACAGGATATATTACAAATTTATGTAAGCAATAACTTAGTTCACACCATGCAATAAAAAGTACATTAATCAAGATACACAAGCTTTTGTAGGTTCTAAACTGAAGGACTTTTTTTTTTCTTTCTGCAGAATCCGTAAAACCTGTGGCACTTAAAATTTGTTAGCCTTTCTACTGAGAGGTAAATTATACACGACAATGATGAAAAAGATTAACAGACCAGTTGTCTATTATGAATCATTCCAGCTTTGTTCAACAATGGCTGAAACTCTTTTCTCATACTCTCGTTTGTTTTCCTGATAAAGTTGTGCTGCCTGGCTATTGGCTGGACTGTTTGGATTGGGTTCATCCAGCAGAGACTAGAAGGAAAGAGAAAGACAGATTTGCAGTTATTCTTTGTATTAACGTAGGTCAGATAAAAATGGCAGAAATTATGTCTTAAGTATTTGTGGGTCTAAATACTTTTCAGAAATGGCTTAATAACTACAGTAAGAAGATTTCTGCTGTTAGAGAACCTAAGCTTCTAAAATAAATCACTCTCAATTGCTTTACGACCTCTAATTTCAAATAGAGTGGAAAAGAACAATCTTCAGCATATTAACATATTAAATTAGGAAATAAGCAGTTTGATTTGGTTACTATACAACACCTATAAATAGCTTAGCAAGTAACATTTTCCAAAGTTAAGTGCTATTACTGTGGCTACCTGGCAAGTGTCTGACAGTAAGTTGGAAAGTTAATCTTGTTTCCTTTAAACAATAAAATATATACATCTAGCAGTACAGCAATGCAACAGGAAGATTATAAGCAATATTTATAATATGACCTAATTAAAGCAAGTGAGATAGAAAAGCTTTAAAAAGGTCACAAACCAAAATGTTACTTCTGTTCCCCTCAAATCCACATACCTAAAACACAACTGTGAAATATTCTACCAGAGTGACACAGAATTTCTTGGAGGCAGCATATTCAATGCTTCTCTGCACTTGACAGTTTCTTGAAGTCCCTATGGTTTTCTAAGCAATCATCTTTATCTTTCCCTAAGATTTTTCATTCTCCACAATCTCTGTCTATTCTTCATGGCATGGTAACACATAAGTTGTGATAACATCTTTACATATGAACAGGAAAATAATTGTGGGCTTGATAATAAGGTGGGTCACTAATGAATAAGCTGACCAGTCATCTGAGAATCATGGGTTTTTGTCTGAGCTTTTCCATTGGTTACCTGGATGCTGGGAAGGTTAGTTTGCTCACTTGGTTTTTAGATTATTCCTAAATAAGCTAACTGGATCCCAAAGGACCTTGAAAAATTATGATGCATCTTAATACACACTTACCTGAATTGACGTTAAAATAGAAGATACATCATATGTTGGACTCCATCGATTCTGAAGGATATCTAAACATATGCTACCATCAGCATACACTGCAAAGACAACACTAAAACTGATTACATATTAACTTTGTCAGATCTAAAAGGTAAGAGAATCTTCACTATGAAAAGAATGCTGGGCCCAGATAGAAGTTGTGAACATTAGGCAACAGCTAAATCCCATTCTGTCTCACAGGAAAACTGGTCTTAAACACTAAGGTCTCTTATTTTGTACCTTTTCATCAGGAGTAAACTTTCCCAACACGCCATATAGCAAATCTGTTTAAATTCTGTATTTCTATAACACTGTCAGCTGATTTCTCAAAAGAAACTTTGCAGGCTGGGAGGGATTGGTAAGAAATATTCAATGTCATGAAAAGCAAGGACCTACAGCCAAGATTGCTCTACCCAGCAAAGATATTTAGTATTTAAGGGCAGAGAAAGAGCTTCCCAGACAAGAAAAAACTAAAGGAGTTCATCACCAAACCATTATTATGTGAAATGTTAAAGGGACTTAAGACCAAAACTATGAGCAATACAATGGCAATAAATACGTATCTATCAACAACTGAATCTAAAAAACAAACTAAGCAAATAAGAACAGAGACAGAATCATGGAGAAAAAATGTGTTTCAATGGTTGCCAGTTGGCTGTGGGGGAATGGGTAAAGAGGTGAGGGGCGTAAGAAATACAAATAGGTGATTACAGGATAGCCATGGAATGTAAAGTACAGTATAGGAAATGGAGTAGCCAAAGACCTTGTATGCATGACCCATGGACACACACAGTAGTATGCGGATTGCCTGAGGGAGTGCGCGGTGCTGGGTGGAAGGGGGCAAAAGGAGAAAAACTGGGACAACTGTAATAGCATAATCAATAAAATATTTTTTTAAAGCAATCAGTGCATTAAAAAGTTCTGTATTTCTAAACATTCTTAAATAAAGTTCTTAAAAAAGAATTTCTTTTTATCACTCCCAGATACTATTCTAAAAGAAATAATAATGGACATGCAAAGTTTTATTTACAGATGTTCACTCTAATACTATTTATAAGAGTGAAAAATTGGAAATTACCTTGTGGTCCGTAAAGAGGGGACTGGTTAAATGCTACATTCATATAACCAATACCCTTAGGACCACCAGAAATGATATACATCTACCCTACATTAACTAATGTAGAAGGACATTCACAATATCTTACCTTAATTCTCCAATTATTTACATAGGATAATTCCATTTTGTAAAGAATTACATATAAATATTTTCATTTGAGGCCTGGCCAGGTAGCTCAGTTGGCTGGAGCATCATCCCCATACACTAGGGTTGTGGGGTCGATCCCTGGTCAGGCCACATAGAGTCTGTGAACCAATGAATGCATGAAATAAGAAAACTATGGTTCTCCTCCTCGTTCTCTCTCCCTGCCTCTCGCTCTCTCAAATCAATAAACTTAAAAAAAAAAAAAAAAAAGATTTTAAATATTTTCATTTGAGGTATATGCAGTTACACAAACACTTATAAGACTAAATGCCAAAATATAAGTAGTAGATAACAGGATTATGAAGGACTTTTATTTTTCCTTGTATTTTATGATTTGTTTTTGCACTGAGTATGCACTCCTTTTAGAATTAAAAAATTAAAATCAAATAATTAACATGTTTTAGGAGGCAGATTACTCTACATAAAAACAGCAACGCAGCCCTGGCTCGTATGGCTCAGTGGACTGAGCGCCAGATTATGAAACAATGGGTCCCTGGTTCAACTCCCAGTCAGGGCACATGCCTGGGTTCTGGGCCAGGCTCCCAGGAGGGAGCACATAAAAGACAACCACACATTGATGTTTCTCTCCCTCTCTTTCTCCCTCCCTTCCCCTCTCTCTAAAATAAATAAGAGTCCTAATAATAAATAAATAAATAAACCCACCAGCAATGCAGTTTGGGGGGGCAAGAGGAGGAAAATTATACTTAAATACTGTCATTCCACAGGACTCTATGCTCAGTCCTATTCCTTCTTACCCTTTACATACCCTCTGGGCAATGCTATTCACTCCCATGGCCTCAATCAGCATCCATGTGCTAGGCACTTCCACTTGTTAGCTTTAGACCAGATTCTTACTCTTAGTTTAAAAGCATCATAGTAAACTACTTATTATAATGCACAGAAATTTCAAATTTCGGAGGCCCAAAGCAAAAACCATCCTACTTCTCTGTAAAGTCCCATAAAAGTATAAAATGGTTTTAACGTTTTGAACTAAGTAACTATTTTTAAGTAATCAAAAAGTAAACAAGGAACCAAACATCTATGGAATAATGAAACAAAACACACTATATCTATAATTCAGGAATAAAAAAAATTAAGTACAGATGTGTTACAATGTAGATGAACCCTGAAAACTGCTTGCTAGCTGAAGTTAGTCACAAAGAACCACATATATTACATGATTTCACTTATATGAAATCTCCAAAATAAGCAAATCTATTTTTTTTAAAGATTTTATTTATTTTTAGAGAGGGGAAAGGAGGGATAAAGAGAAAAGAGAAACATCAATGTGTGGTTGCCTCTTATGTGTCCCCCAAGTGGGGACCTGGCCTGCAACCCAGGCATGTGCCCTGACTGGGAATTGAACTGGCAACCCTTTGATTCTCATGCCAGTGCTCAATCCACTGAGCCACACTAGCCAGAGCCAGAATAGGCAAATCTATAGAAACAAAAATAAATCCGTGACTGTTTAGGGCTAGAGGGGTTGGAAGAAATGGGGAGTGACTGCTAACAGACATGGACTTTTTTGGGAGGATAACAAAAAAAATGTTCTAAAATTAATTATGGTCATGGTTGCACAAGTCAGTGAATATACTAAAGACCACTCAATTGTATATTTTAAATGAGTGAATAGCATGGTAATTATATTGCAATAAAGATATTTTTTAAAAAAGTAAACCAGAAAGTGACCTAATAAAGTATTATTGACAGCAGAAACAAGGGAAACCATATTATTAAAATGAAAGGATGACAAATAACCTAATACATTGTTTTTCTATAAATTTGTTAATCCTACACCTATACGCACATACCCCCTGCATATTCTACAATCTATCCCACCTTGATTTAAAGAGCCAGGAATTTCCCCAAAACAGAAACAAAAAATAAAATTAAACCTGTCTTGGCTTTAAAAAAAAAAAAAAAAAAGGTAGCTGGAGAGAAAAAGCAAAAGCATTTAAATCTATTATTGGGAAGCCACATCAGTTCCAGACACAAAAACATACCTCTCCTCTGAGTAGGGAGCTCTACCTGCCTTATAGCCCACTCACGCAGTTTGTAGTACTAGACTAGATGCACAGTCAGAAGGACTTCTGAAAATGTTCCTTCTTAAAATAAGTTAACTAATAGGAAAGACCACATTTAAATGAGCAAAAGGTTACAAAACAGAAAGAGCTTAAATAGTTTGGAAAATAAGTCAGACAGTAATTTATAATCCAGGAATATACATACGGTAGAAGTAAATGGCAGAAAGGGAAGAACAAATTTTACGAAAGGGTCACTAACAATCATTTATAAAAAATAGTAATAAAATAAACTTCTACAAGTGAAAATAGAAACGAGAAAAATATGTAAAACTGTATTTAAAAAAGCCTTAAAAACACACAAACCTTTGACCCAGTAATCTCACTTCTAAAAACTCATTCTAAAGAAATAGTCATAGGTATTTGAGAAGATTTATTTTCATCAGAAGTGCTGAAAAATCATCACTTAGACACTGATTAAACTAATTATGATAAACTCAGAACAATTTGTTACCACTAAGAATGATGTAAGAGTATTTAATAAGGAAAAATGTTCATAGTATATAAAAAATTACTTAACATAAAACATACCAATTTTGTACAAGCATTTATTTGTATTTTTTTAAAAGCTAAATTTTCAGTGACAAATTCTGTTCAGCATCTTTCACATTTCTACAAATAGATATTACTTTAAAATCAGAAGTTATTAAAACAAAACAACTTAATCTCAAATTTGGAACCTTGATAAGATTCCGGACTACAAAAATGTGGCTAATACTGACATGGAAGCAACACCCAGAAGTCGGCCCTGAGAGTGAGAAGTATGGGGCGAGATTTAAAAGGAAGTAAACAACTCTTTCCCCTCCTCCCCTCTATCATTTGCAAAGTCTAATAAATTGCTACTTACCATTTGGATGAAACATTTTGGATAAAAACCTAACAGTTGGCGGTTTATTTGGGTATTCTTCAGAAAATTCTATTACTAGTTTAAAAGTACCTAGATAGAAAACAAACCAAAATAATTATAGTAAAGACAAGCATAACTTTTAAATATCTTCATCAATGAATTCTCAACCCATATTGGTTTCTGCACCACATAAAAATTAACGTGAATTTTGGGTCAGTACATAAAACATACCAATAAACTTCTGTTTATGTCAGACTGATAACACAGCATTGGTAAGCACTCGGGGAACTAATATTTTCACATGCTATTTGTGGGAATGATAACTGTCATAATTTTAAAAGGCAGTTTGGTCCTAGCAACTAAAACTTAAAATGCACATTTGGAGAAATATAGTTTATCTTAGCCTAGAAGGGGAGAGCCCAAAGGATTTTGAGAGGGGGTGACTATCACATAACAGAGCTTAGATGGAAGGCATAGGCACTAATGTGAAAGGTCTGTTCTGTCTCATAACAATCCCTTCACTTCGGTATGTCAGGAATCACTAAGTGTTTATGGTAACTGCCTACTCATTGTTGGTCAGAGACCAACAGAGTTCATTTTGGTCAGTCTACATCAGTATTTTCTGGTCAAAAGAAACAGGCATTTTTCAAAAATCATGCATTTGTAGCAAAGTAAATCGGTTCCTAGTGAACAAATAACTCTCAACTCCAAATCCACTTCACAGAAGTAACACTATGAGTGGTTTCGGATTTGTCTTTCTAGACTTCTTTTGTGATTCACTATCTAGAGTCCTTTATTTTGAGGAAACTAACCTCAAACGTGCGTTGGTTGGAGAGGTCTTCCCTCTAACTCCATCCCCTTGGATGTACTTACTCTTAATGAAGTCGATAAAATTAAGAACAATCTAAAAACAAATAAAATCCCCCAAACAACAAAAACTCTGAATTAACCTAAACTCTAAGCTCCTGGCAGAAACTCTACCTCTTTACATTTTTTGTTGTTTGGAAATTTGGGATTAGGGAAGCCAAAGATATAAGCAAAATCAAAGGCAAAATATCTCTTCATATTTAAATATATTAATAGAGATATGATGAAATATATAGAGAAGACAGCCTTATACCTAATTATGTATTTTTAAAGCTTACATTTTATTTTTAATTACAAAAATGTACCATGTAAAAATTTCAAGCAAATACAAATATAAAATAACTATTTTTAAACTTTTTTTTTCATATTATGGGGGTCTCAGGTCCCCTTATATACTCTTACTCCCAACCACCACCAAACTTCCCATGTGAAATCACTGAATGTGAACCTGGAAAGAGATGCATGTAATTGCATACTATTTCATGGTATCTCCATTAAAAATAATTTCATTTTTAAATATTGGCTCTCTAATAACCAGCTTGCAACAAATCCCTAGAAGCTGCCTCTAGCATACCACTGGCTATAACTACTGATATGCACTGTGTTAGAAATTACAACCAGAAAATCTTAAAATATGTATCATTAATAACTAAACCCATTACACATTTACTCAAGTAACATTTAATGAAAAAACAACGATCTTCCCCCAAAGTTAGTGACAAGCGAAGCATTGTTTTACATTTTTGTAAATGTAAATCTAATGATTATCTCAACAGAAGACAGCTGGATTGTCTTAGCTGCTTCTGCATTCAATCTGTTGCAAAACGCTGTTTTGGTTGAGGAACATGAAAATCAGGCATCAAACAATTATATAAGTGACAAGTACTGTATTTTGCAGTGTATAATGCACACATTTTTGCTCAGATTTTTGAGGGAAAAATAAGGATGCGCATTATACGTGGGCAGTACCTGAAATACTTGTACCTATTCTTGTGTTTTGTAATTACTTGTACCGTATGTTCAAAAATAAATGCTAAAATTCCTTTATAATACAAAAAACAAGTATCTAAATGTAAATAAATAAAAATTTGAATAAAAAAATTAAAACAAAAGATTTTTTTCCTGAAAGTTCGGGCCAAAACTGTGGGAGCGCACTATAAGATGTGGGAGTGCATTATACACGGCAAAATACCGTATCTTCATCGCCTTTTCAGATAATTGCAGATGTATTTTGATATTACACCAAAGAAATAGTAGGTTTTTTAAAGGTTAGTTGTAATGTAAAATCTGAAACCAAATAAACAAACCTTTGCATCACTTATCTTTGGAAAATACTGGTTCACTGTTATATAACTTTTCTAAATGTCACCATAGTTCATTATATACCCCCCCAAATTAACAAGGGGTAATACTACCTACTGATCTCATCAGAGAAATCTTAAAAATATTGGGAAGCTGCCACTTTATTAGCAGCAACAAATATTTTCAGCTGCTTTCCTTGACCTAATAGTTCTCTTACATCACTTTTGCAACCCAAACAACTGCAGAGTGCTTTTCCCTCAAGACAATCATCAAACTTTGATATACAAGAGAAGAGCTGTGTGCATACTTCCCACTTCACCACACAAAGTATTATTAAAAAGATGTGTACTCAAGGGTAAGAACTGAATAGTACCAACTTCCACTTTTTCATCAAGACATTTTTAAGTGAAAACTGGCATCTTTTAAAATGCAAAAAGTACAAAGACTATTGTTAGTACAGTTTGGTGCTATTACCTTGATTTGTGCCAAGATGTTAAACTGCTTAGGTCCAGTTTTAGTCACTAATACTTTTGTTCCATCAGTGCAAATCTCAACACAGTGAAAAGGGCAAATAGCATCTTTGTATCGTGACAAAACTGTATGAAGATCATTTTGATCCTGTGGAACCCCTGAAAGGATCTCAGGGGCCTTAAGGAGTTTATGGACCACCCTTGAGAATACCCAGATGTAGAGTAAAAAGCTTAAGTCCTTAGGCACCTCTCTTTAATTCCTAACCTCAACCTAGAGGTAACCACTGATAATAGTGTGGTACATACCCATTTAATATACACATACACTTGCATATATGTACTTACTAAACTGTGATACAACATATATTATTCTGTAAGGTTGTCTTTTTGTCCAGTCTACCTTATTCCTTAAGAAGTATGTGATACTGCCCTGACTGGCGCGGCTCAGTTAGTTGCGTGTCATCCCCCAACATGAAAGGTCGCCAATTTGATTCCCAGTCACAGCACACGCCTGGGGTGCAGATTTGTTTCCCAGATGGGGGTTGTACAACAGTGTTTCTCCCTCTCTAAAAATAAATAAATGAAATCCTAAAAAAATGTTAAAGGGGGGGCATTGGAAACTATGCCTTTTTAAACAAAAAGTATGTAATATTACAGAGTCTAGCTATATCATAATTTTCTGTTTCCTCTATTGGGCATTCAGGTTATCTCCTTAAAAAATGGTGCTGCAATCAATCACTGTACAAATATCCTTGCTGCGTTAATGCTGAAGCCATTCTGATAATTAAAACAAACCTTTAAAAGAATTTTTTTAAAAATGAGGCTATAATTAGGGAAAATCTAAGTACCTGGTTTAAATCATTTTTGAGAAACTTCTTTAATATATTTGAGCTAGTTTTCCATTTCCTTGGCGCTTGGTGAAAATACTGAATTTAAGATGCAAAATGTTATGCAGGATGCTATTTACAGGTGTTGAATGCCAGCTGTATGTGGATCTACTGACAGCTATGAATATTTAAAAACAGTTTCAGCTCCACAACCCTATCAATATAGATAACAAAGTTAAAAAAAAAAGGGGGGGGGGCATGACGACCCTCCTGGTGTTTACCTCCGAAACATGTTAGCATGCTACAAGGCCACTGAAATTTAAACTATTCTCAACATAGACTCTACCAGATAGGTTTCCAGTTTTATAGCCAAACAGCAAAGTAACAGAGTAGCTGGCAACCAACAGTGGTCAAGCTGATGGAAGAAAGTCCTGTAAACTAAAATTCTCAGTAGCAGTACTTAGTTTTAATTTGACCTATTAACAGAAAATAATTTTAGGTAGATACATTGGTGTCACAATTTCCTACTCTAAAAAAAGCCTCTTCTACTAAAGAAAACATAAGGAGAATGACTTACCATCTTCAAAGGGTGTCCCCTCTGGTCTGAAAACAAGAAGATTTCTGATTAAAAAAGGTTTTTATTCATCATTCTGCTTTTTCCTGATTTTCAAGAGTGGAAAGGATAAACTCAAACAGAAAGAGGGGCTCATTCTGATGATTTGTGGAGTTTTTAAGATATTAGTTTTATATCATCTTAGCCCTAGATTTTCAAAGATGTAGACATAAAAAGTAACTTTTATTTTCTAAATTTTCCTTTTACAAAAGAAGTCATCATTTTAGCACAGAAAGAATTCAGCTCGTAAATATCAACCAGTCATTTTGTAAAAGGTCCTGTCTTATATCAGTAAAATGGAAATCAGTATCATTTACTTTAAGATAAATACACCAAAACAGCATTCTGCTTTTCAACAGAACAATTTCTTGTTCAAACTGGACAGACATAACTTAAGTCATCAAGTAAGCCAGTTTCTTTTGCTCAAATCTTTTCCTTGCCTCCATACCCCACTTTCATTTTTCCTAAGCAGCAGCATGAAGCTTAATTATTACTTGCAAGGCATATTCAGGATCTCAAAGCACATTAGCCTGAATTTAATATAATCACTTTAGAATAGGAACTATACTCATTTTTCCACTAGTTTTTAAGGTAGACTCTTATAACTAATTCAGAGGCAAACTGGAATTGTTCATGATAGAATTCCCTTTCCAAGTTCTAGTGCAACTCTAGTTTAATGGCAGTGAAAGAGAAAAGATCTAGTCTGAGAAAACCAAAGACAAAAGAAATTTTAAATTAGAAAGCATACATACTATATACAATATGTAAAATGTAAGACTGCTTTTCAAAGACTTCATTCAGCTACAGACATATCTTTTGATTGAGCTTCGCAGATAACCTTTTTAAATAAATTGAATATAAGGCCCTCCATCAGCCAAAGAAAAAGATTTGCATTACTGTGGTGGTCTGGAACCAAACCTGCTGTGTCTCTGAGGTATGCGTGTATTTCACACTGGGTTGTGAAACAATTTTCCTTTAAATTCTTGCCACAGTGTAAGTTCTTGATATTTTTGGTTCCTAGCCTTTCTACAGTTCCAATAGAATGCAAGCATAAACACTTGCTTGGTACATACTGTACAAAATTAAAACCCAAAGTCATTATAAAAATCGTACATTCTAACACTAAAACGCAAATAAATTTTGTTTAACTGCTAAAAATGTTATGGGAATAAATTTTTCTTCAAATTTATCTTGCGGTTTTTGTAAGGTCTTCATTCCACCTCAGCCTCTTTTCCTAGCTGCACAGTTTTCTTAAAGAATCACCACACCTATTAGTTATTTTATTTTTAAACTCACCCAAATATAACTGCATTCCACTGCATGATGTTGTTTTCAGATGGTGCGCCACTGACACCCACAGGTGGGTCCTCTTGCAATCTAAAAATCCGTCGTAATAATTTTAAAATTTGGACATTTGAGCCGCTAAAAAGGCCAGACAGAACACCTACAGACTCTACTATCTGCTTTGAGACACAAACTAAATTTATTTCCTTGTTCTTGTGCTCAGCTGGAAAAAACCATCTAACACCCACAAAATCTACCAGGTATAAGACCTATGAGATACCTCTCCAAATATCAAGGTGAAGGTATCTTTCAAGAACTGTATACAGGCTGCCCTCAACCAAAAATAAATACCTCAAGTGCTTACAGAACCATCAATTTTGCTATTGTAATGCAAAGACGGTGAGCTATTTGTGCAACATGGCCACCAAACCTCCCCCCCCCCCAAAAAAAACCAAACAAAAACTCAGTGTAACCACTATTAATATTCAATTTGAAGAGGAACTAGTTTTAGGCACAAAAGTTACTTTATCCCATTTGCTTCAATTAGCAATGGCTTTAAAGTAATCAAAGATTCAGTTAGGGTTTCCGTCAGTTCTTATTTTAAAGGCTCTGCACTGACACTAAACCTACCTCTCAGGTCTGGAGACTCAATACAGAGCTTCCTCCCAACACACTTGTCATAGTCAAATTCCTGTAACCTGAGACCCTTGGAAAACTACCACAGGTACCACGTATCAAATTCGGGATAAAGCAGAGAGAAAAATGTTCTCTCTCTCTCTCTCTCTCTCTCACACACACACACACACACACACACACACACACACACGCAGAGAATGGCAGTTAAGAACTGGTAGTTTTATTATTGGAATTTCATACATCCGATTTTTCAGCTACTCTGAAATCTACCGATTTCAAGCTTTATGACTTTTACACAAAATAGGGCATCTCCTTTTAAAGACTCAGCAAAAAGTAAACGCTACATTTTATCTCTCCACATATACTTGTGCCGTGATTGTCATGTGGTATGATACTTTGAAATTAATCCACCTAAAAATGGTTCTTTTTAGTCAACCTCAAGGGTAAGCGGCCCTGAACAAAAGCCTTGGAGGAATTATGCTGCCTGACGCCCACCAAGAGTCAGTTTAAAAGAAGTTACGAATATATGAAATGATAAATTGGCCAAAGCCCCAAACAATGGCTTCCGAACGCCTCGCCTACGGCCTTATAACGGCGAGGTTGACAGGGGCTTCCTGGGAGGCTAAGTTTTTACACTAGATATTTTGTCTCAACCAGGGCGGGTCTCCTCAGGAAAACCCTGAAAACATGTGCAGAGGACCACAATGCTAAGTTTTGTTACTTTTCCCCCGCGCCTCCCCGTAAAAGGTAAACAACTGAAAAAGTCACTTCCTCCTCACCAGCCCCAACACCTCCTCACAAAATCCCGTTTTACGAAAGGAGGCTCAGGGAGTATCAGATTAGCGCCGGGCTCGGGGAAGGCATTTTTCCAGGCTCGGGAAGCTATCGATAGGGCTCTCTCCACCAGGCCACGGAGCGACTCCAGCAGGCGCTGGCAGCCGGCGGCGCCAGCTCGCGTCCCCGTCTCTAAGCCAGCTCTCAAGGTCCTTCCGGCGGGCGGGGGAGAGTCGGGTTTCCGAGGATGGGTTAACCACCTCCCGGCCTCGCGCGGCAGACCCCACCCTCGCCGCGGCGGGGGCGGGGGGGCCGCGTTCGACCCAACGCTGCCCCTCCGCGGAGAGCGCAGGGCCACCGAACAAAGCTGACTGGTGCAGCAGGCGAGGAGAAGGCTTCTGCAAGGGCTCGCTTTGGAGGTTTAGGGAGGGGGTGCCGCAGGGTGAGGGGCAGGGGTTGGGGGGGGGGCAAGGTCAGCCCCTCAGGCAGCTGGCCCAAGCGGGCAGCGGGGAATCCTTGGGAGTCCATAGCCATCTTTTCACTTTTGGGGTGGACAGATATCGCAATTTCTTACGTCAGAGGAGTGAGTGAGCAAGCAAGTATGAGGGAGTGCGAACGGGCGTTAGAGCTGGCCTTTCGTCGCTCCCCCAGGGCCCACCACCAGCCCTGGGGATCGCGAGAGGGTGTCCCGGATCCCCACCCTGTAGGCCCGTAGCTTTGAGGAGCAACTGTCACCCAGGCGGAGGTGAAGGGCCTTACCGCTTGAAATCCCGCATAAGCCTCCTCCGGGCGGGGGTCGACATGCTCCACAGCTGCCCCGCGATCCGTCTGAAAGAAAAGAGTCCCGCGCAGCCCCCCCACCCCCCGGCGCAGCGGCCGAATCACTGCGGGTCACCGCCACAGAGGCTGCACAAACAACCCTGCAATGACGTCTCCCTCCGCCGCCTCCAGATCCCTCCGCCCTCCGCCTGTACCACCTAATGGGGGGGTAGAAATATGGAAAGGAACGGGTGAGAGTTCCTGGGGGAGCCTTTCAGCAAGGCCCTATCTATTTTCCCTTCCTCAAGTAATTGAAAAATTCGTATTTTCTGTGCTCAGACTAATATTGTGGATTAAGACATTGAAAGCGAAACATCAGCCTGTCTCTTCCCCTTTCACTAACTTAGGTCCGACCGAGTGGGGAAGGAGGGACGCAAGCGGGGCCAGAGATTTCAGGGAAAGGAGGTGGGATGACGTAAGACCACGTGATCGCTAGCGGCTTTGTCAACAATCCACCCTTGAGGGGGAGGTGGCGAAGTATCTAGAACCACGTGCCTCTATGACGCAATTAGAACTGGTCGGGTGAGAGCGTCCCCTGGATCTGAGTCCCAACCAGGTAGATGAAGCAGGTAGTTAAATTGACTGGACTGATGACGGACAAACACCCTTATTAGTATTAAAACATTTGGTGCCATGAGCAGAGAGAGCAGTAGAAGCAGAAGAGGCCTTGGAAAGCAGAGCTTGTTTTTGCTTAAGTCTTTAAAAGAGCTGAAAATAATTTGGATTTGAACCCCCCCCCCGCCCGGGTGGTTGAAGGGCTTATGAAATCTGGTACACAAGGAAGAAAGAGTGATGGGACCTGTCTTTTTTCTAGTGAGTGAGGTATTTACTGCTGAGGCCTATACAAAGTAAAATCCCCTGATGCTTCGTTAGAGGGATCAAATAGCCTGCGTGTGCATTGTAGTAGGGTTCCCAGGGTTGGAAATTCCAGGCAAATATCAAAGAATGGTGTAGATTGTCCAAGGTTTGTTCACACTCCCCAGGAATTACAAATTTTGTTTTTCCCAGTGGGTCTGCTCCCATTTGAGGATTTGTGTCAGAATCCAAGGATTCGCCTACCATGTGGAACTATTGTCTTTGTCAGGAAATGTGAGCATAAGATCTCCAAAGAGCAGCATTTTGATGGGGGGATTGGGTGTCAAAGAAACCTAAAAATAAGATTGAGACGTGGAGGACATCATAAAGACATGGGTGGGATGTCTAGCCTGGATGACTTATTTCAGGTGGTCTACAACAGCAAGTTAGGTGCAAATGCACCAGAAATGCTACCCCACCCCCCCCCACCCCACTAGTGGTGGAGAGGTAGATGAGAGGTATTGACCCTTGTAGAGAACTCTGAACAATTTCATATCTATTAGGGTAATTCTTCAGCTCAAAGCAGAATGGGAGGATAGAATGAAGACCTTAGCATTGCCCCAAACCGCCATGGTTAAAAGGAACCAGAGAGGGTTAACTTTCGCCACTTCTGGCATCTTCTGTGGATGAAAAAGGAGCCACATACTAAACCTGATAAGCGGGGGAGGACTGTATGGTGGGCCTTACAATTTCAGAGACCTAATGTAGCCACATAGGAGAGTCTGAAACTAAAACTTCCTAACTAAAAGTTACTCATGGAAAGTACTCATGTCCTCCCTAAGCTTGACTATTTTCTTTTTGTATCTATGTTAACATTTGGAATGTCAGAGTAAATCTCCTTCTCTCCAGATCCCTGGGGCACAGTCTCCCCCAGAACAGGAGACCACCGAATCCCTCATTGTTTTCTTGTTCCTTGCATGCCATCTGTACTGTAAATGTTAACTCTCCTATACCCACCAATGTAAAAGAAGTATTTCAATCTCCCTTTTACTTTTTATCCAATCTGAGATGTTTCTCTGCTTTGCCTTCTCCTGCCTCCCTAATCAACAGTGAATTTCATGTAACCTCCTTACATCTTCTCCTTTGTTTATATAAAATAAGAGATAAAGCTCTGTTTTCCCAGAGCATTTTTCTAATTGAAAAATTAGAAATTTGCTAATTTTTCAATTAGAAAAATTGAAAATTTTTTCGTTGAGAATTTGCTTCCTGGCAATAGTCATCACTTAGGCTCAAATAAACTCATAAAAATTCTGTACAGGTTTGGATGTTTCTTACATCAGCGCTCCCTTTATTCAAACCCAGAATTCTATCTCTTGCTTTTGGTAACTGCCTTTGTGATCAAGTTAGCCAGGCCTAACTCGATAGGCCCTTCTGTTCATTCACAAACGTGATTCTCTAAATCTTAAGCTGAATATTCTTATTTTTACTCTTTTGCCTTCCTGCCATAGCGATCCTATCTTCCCAATAGCTAAGGATGAAGACACACTGGTATAGTTGCATACAGTAAAATGCTAAAGAGAAACTTTAAAAAATCCATTATGTCATTTATCTAGCAATTTATAATTGTTTTGGAAACCCAGTTGATGATTTTCTAACATGAAATAATAAGACTTTTGACGAAATCAGTGAAGGTGTTTCATTAAAGCCTTAGAGCAGCAGTGTATAAGCAAAAATCATTGGCTGTTGTGGGTACCAGGCCTGCCAAACCTATTTGTAGTGTTAAAAAAACAAAATTCAATAGAGTAAATTTGAAGATCTGAATGTGAAGATCTTCATTAAGCCATTCATGAATTGGGCAGCATCCCATTTGACAACTAGAAAGGTGCTCTTAAGTTTTACAAAATTAAAGGTTTTATAGGAAGAAGGGGAGACAAGGGAGCTATTAACAAAAGAACAGAAAGGATTATTTTTGGGCTGGGACAACTTTCTTGGAGAGGAAAGAAAAGGGGTTTTTTTTCATGCAGATTAGAGGGGTGGAGAGGATCCAAGTGATAGATTACTTCCTTGGTGTTGACCATGAAATTCCAGACAACCAGTCTGGAATTTTCTGGTATAGGTTGTTTTGGGGAGAGATTGAAAAAGCAGTTAGATGTGGTATTAAGTCTAGGTGTGGTATCAAGGGCTTTTAGCACAAGTGATGCCATTTTGAGCCTGTAATTTTATACTGTAGTGATTCTGTAGCTCTAGATTGTGGGCTCACTGAGGGCAGGGACTCTGATTCATGCTTTGCCCCTTGCAAATATTTAGCCCACAACAAATATTTAATAGACTTTAACAGCACAGAAACTGTTGGGAAGCTTTTAAAATACCAATTCCTTTACCTTATCATTTAAGTTAGGATCTCTGGGAGTGGGGTCTTTTAAAAAGCTCATAAAATGTAATTTTAACGTGCATGGTACAGTGAGACCAACTGGACTAGAACTTATTGGATATTAATGATGTTTTCTCATTGAGAAGTGAGTTGGCCTTTTTAACATTTAACACTTTTTACAGAAAAAATAAATTAAAGCCCTAAAAAAGAGGACACTCCCTGGGCACTTGCTCCAGTGATATCCTTGTAATTCATTGGAAGGTGGAACGGCAGCAGAATCTGAAGTCTAGTTCTTAAACAATTAGATAACAGCTTTTCTTCTTCTTTTTTTTTCCCCTGTGCCTTTACATGTCAATTTAGGTATGCGATAGAACTCATTGAATTATGTCCTTTCCCAAAGACGGGGTTTTATTAGAGTTTTAACACATAGCAAGGAGGTTTTTAAAAAAGGATTACTATGATCGTGAAAAAAATTAAAAGCATATTGCAGGTGTTCAAGAAAGGTTCTTGATTAAAGAAGCATCTTCTCCCCAGTTTAAGGATGAAATGTGGACTGTTGAGCTCAAACTCAGGCCTATGGAATATCAATGTAACTAGGTGACTTAGAAAACTACGATTACGCCAAGCTGGCTTGGAAGTCTTTTACAAAAAGTCTCCATTACGTTCTTAATGACACCAGCCATCCTTTTAGGACCCAGCACAAGCGGCAAGTGTTCTCTAGGGACAAATGCAAGACGCGTTGGACAAACTTGCGCCCCTGCTCCCCCTCCCTAGAGTATTTGCAGTCGTTAACACTGCAGTCAAGATGCTGACCCTCCCCCACCCACGCTCTAAATTAGCTTTGGGCGTAGAACCCAATCTGAGCGTTTTACAACCACAGTTCTCCACCCAGCAACACCAAGCGAACTTCCCTTAACGCACAAGAACTCGCCTTCGCTTCTCATTTTTCCTTCCGGGTCAGGAAGGCCGGGCCTCTGTTCCGGTCTTGCGCACTAGGCCGCAAGCGCGAGGCCGGCGGCACCGTTGCCATGGTAGCGGGTGGCCCCGAGGTAGTGGGGCCAGCCGCCTAAGTAGTGCTGGGACTGCGCGGGTCCGAACCCTCGGGAGAACAGAATGGGGTGAAGCGGTGACGGCTGCCCAGACAAGGTCGTCTGCCAGCGAGGCTTGCGGCACTGGTCTGGGACCATAAGACATCTTGTTTAACGAGCGGGCGATACAGAGGTTTTCTTGGGTCCTGGGGACTGACCTGTGGGCGACTGCAGTATTGCGGGAACGTCATGTTTGACAGAGGCGTGACAGGAAGTGCGAGGACTACCCCCCTGTCCCCATGACGGATGTTGACTGGTAGTAAAGGAATCTTAAAACTTAGTGTTGATGGTAGTAATCAAGACGAGGCTCCCGAAATTCTGGTGAGGGCCGGAGACCCACAGGGACACCTTATTGCCGGTTGGCAGTTTCCAAAGACAAGTGGTGTCTGTGGAAACGAGTCCTATTTTTCTATGCTTCTGTATTTTAAAGTATGGGTTTATTGTGGAAATGCATTATCCAGCTTGAATAAATAAAATACAAATGTTTAACATTTCCTTTCTTTATTTCTATGAAGAAGAAGCCGGGCTTAAAAGAATGGAGATGTATGAAAGCCTTGGAAAAGTGGGAGAGGGAAGTTATGGAACAGTCATGAAGTGTAAACATAAGGATACCGGGCAGATAGTGGCCATTAAGATATTTTATGAGAAACCAGAAAAATCTGTCAACAAAATTGCAATGAGAGAAATAAAGTTTCTAAAGGTTTGCTTCTTTTGCCTAAGTTGCCCTTTGTACGTCAAAAGAGAAATAATTATGGGAAAAAAATTATATAAGGAATATTTCAGTTACCGCATGTATTAGAAATACAAGTGTGATACTCTACCTAATTGCCTACATTTTGTCATTTTAT